CCTTTCGGTTGTCTGTCCCCCAGGGAGGAGGTCACATATAGTTCCTTGCAATCGGTTCCCTCCTTCCTACCCATTCTCCCTTCACCCTCCCTGCCTCGCCATTCACACCACTGGTCCTGAAAATGCAGGGAATGCATGGCGGATGAGCCCTACAGGACCATTGTGTTTTTATTAATTACTTTTTACTGCATCCTGCTGTGACGCTGTGCGTCATGTTTTATGTGGAATGTTCTTGTGGGTTTTATGAAAAGATGTGAAATTGTTACTTTGATATAAAAAGTAACAAATTATTAAAATTATTATTAAAAGGGAGTGATGATCTGCTTGTGGAAACAAGACTATGATTTGTAGAGCATTTATCTTAATTTCTGCTATGTGTTCTAACTCCTAGATCATAAAAAAGAGTGCAGTAAGATTCTAATTGGGCTCAAACTATGGAGATATTAATTACTTCAATCTGTTAGAAGTGCATGTGACAGGATGCGCGATCAATGAGGAAGTGAACGTAGACAGCAAAGGGAAGAAGCTGTTGGCTAAACTTGAGAGTAGATGTTTGTAGAACACAGGCCTTTGTGTCATATCTTTATGAACTCCCAGTTCCCTAGGCCCATCAAACTCCCCCGTCCTTTTGTACACCTTGGCGTATGTGGTACCTTGCAGACCCAGAATGTGTGGGATGTTTTTAGGACTCCATGGTCATTGAGGTTGTGGCTGTGGTCTTTACCAGAGAAGAGTGGGCTTTGCTGGAACTTGCCCAGAGGAAACTCTACAGAGATGTGACAATGGAAACCTTCAGAAACCTGGCCTCCATTGGTAAGGATATCTTTTTTTTATTTTTAATTTAATCATTTAGTGAACAAATACACTTAATAACCTTGCTCTAGTATTTCAGGTGAGAAATGGAAATACTGTCAAATTAGGCAGATGTGGTCTTTTCTCTATGGCATGTACATATCCTGGCTTCTACAAGAACATGAAACTTCATGTATTAAACTGGCTTTTCCGTATCTCTTCTGGTTAAAAGCCTTGAGCCTCTTAAAATGCTGTGAGCATTGGCTTCCGTGGTCCCTTTGGGGCATAGACAAGTTTGTGTTTGGTGTCCTTATAAAGAGCTTTACTGTTTTTATTGTGTCAAATATTTTGTTGCAAATAAACTCTCCCCTGCCCATCTGAAGGCCAGGGTATTGGCTCAGTGTCAGGGAAATGTTCATTGCTCTTCCCTGTCTTTCTTCATGATAAGCCTTTCTCCCAGAGTACTGTGCCACCTACACATTTGTTCTCTCAGAGAAGCGAGAGAAAGATCTGAGAGCAGCGGTAAGACTTATCCAGCACCGCTGTGTTGGGAAACACAAAAAAAGCAAGACTTTTGAAGGACCTGTTCTGAATAGGTGGCAATTAGATTTGAATAAGTTGGGGGGGGGGATTGTTTTATGGACATTGATTTGAGGAGATGGAAATTCACAGGTACCTCACCAAACTCTTCTGACTGTCATTAGTCCTCTCACCCTTTGTTCACGGAGAGAGAAAGTCCTTCCGGGTCCTCTCAATGTGTCTGTAACATTGTGTCTCGTAGCTTTCTGCTTGGCTCTCTGGTTACATCCTATTTATGTCACTCTCACCTTCTAAAAGTCTCCGTGAAAGTGTTGCCTACAAAATTACTCTTTGACCACTGCCAAATCACAACAGAGCCCAGTGCATCCAAGTCTTCTGTTGCTCACAGCTGCTTTTTCCTAATCATTTCTTTCCGTTTTGCTTCATATTTTAAACCTCGGCTTGCATCATTGGGTCAGTTTCTCAAAACTTTAATGATGGAGTAAAATCATCCAGTGAACAAATCATGGTGCAACTCATGAAGAATGACACCTGGTGTTCCATGTTAAGAGAAATCTGCAGATTAGACAGTATTGAAGATCACCCTAAAAACCATGTGAGGTGAGTATCATTCCCACAAAGGAACAAGGCCTCAGAAGAGCGAATCCTGGGTGGGTTTGATTTCAACTTAGCTGTCACCTGAGGGTGGGGGAGACAGGGAACAAGCTTCTACAATCTAGTTTATGCTTGTCCTGGATGAAAAGGGTGCCCTTCAACCACAAGACACAAAAATAGAAATTCAGAGTTGTACTACTCACAGGTGCTAAGGGTATGTGGCATGACAGCTGATGGTGGCATGTGCAGGGAGGTTACAGGCAGAGAGGATGTACAACTGAAGCATAGCCCTTTTTAGGGTCTTAGGGTGGTGAGGGAATTTTTGTAGGGTAAATATCATTCCTCTTTTTGAATCTAAAAAGTGAGAATTAGGAAGAGCTGTTTTAGAAACTAAATATGACAATTGTGGAGAGATGAAAAGTTGAACATGAGTGATTTTGATAGCATGGTTATTTAGGGTTATTTGGGGCTACGAGGTGCAACAGGTTGTGGTGCACTGGCTAACAAGGTTAGAAAAAAGTTCAGTATGTATTTTGAAGGCTGGCTAATATCATTAAAAGTTGTCATATTAAAATATGTGTGTATGTGGATTCGTGCATGCACGCATACACACATATGGAGATGATAAAGTTTGTGCAATCTTGCATTATCTTTTAATTCCATTCCACAAACTTTTGGAAACCTCATCTATATATAAAATTAGCTGAAATTTTGTTTTGGATATTTTTACAATTTAGTATTCCTGGAAATACGAGTCACATATGAAACATTTCTCACTTGTGCCCAATTATCAGAAAGCTTTGTGCTTTAGAAATGTTGAGAGTGATGGCAGTATCTCTGCTAGAGGTTTTTACCTAAGAAACATGAGACAGCTCATATTGGAAAAAAAATGTATACATTATTGAGTATGGTTATGGTGAAATGATGATAAATTATTTTACAACTATCTGTTGCCTGCTTTCAACAGAGGACATGTGGAAGACAGCCTCCATGCAAGTAAGGGAAGCCGTCAGCATGGAAAATCCTTCAGCGGGATTACAAATGTTACTGTGATTGAAAGAGCTTCCACGGAAGTAAATCCTTTTGAATGCTCCAAGAGTGGAAAATCTGTTGTGCATCCTTTGTTACTTTCACACCATGCCAGACCTCCCGCTGGCTGTGATACTGATCCGTATGAGGAATGTGGGGAAACGTGCAGCTGTCCCTGTCCCCTAAGCACTCCTGTGAGAACTCTTACTGGAAAGAAGCCATACAAATGTAAGGGATGTCATAAAAGCTTCATTTGTATCTCCAGTCTTAAGAATCCTCCGACAGCAACACTCACTAAGTTGAGTGCATGAGTGTAGAAGTTGTGAAGATTTCTGTAGTTTCTCATCCTTTCAGGCCCATGTGAAAAGTCATAAACGTGAAGCTAAAGACTGTTGGGAAACCTATACACGTTCCTCATTGGTCACGTTACCTAAAAAGTTTCATAGTGGAGATAAGCCTTATGAGTGTGAGGAATGTGGAAAACCCTTTAGTTATTTCTCTTCTCTAACTAGACATGTAAGAACTCACAGCAAAGCAAAGGCTTATGAATGTACGGAATGTGGAAAAGCCTTTAGTTTTTCCGCACTGCTTACAATTCATATAAGGACTCATGATGGAAAGAGGCCCTTTGAGTGCAAGGAATGTAGAAAAGCCTTGAGTTGTTCCTCAGCCCTCACCAGACACTTAAGAACGCACAGTGGAGAGAGGCCTTATGAATGTAAGGAATGTGGGAGAGATTTTCGACATTCTTCAGCCCTCAATAGACATAGACGATCTCACAGTGGAGAGAGACCCTATGAATGTAAGGAATGTGGGAAGGCCTTCAGCCGGTCCTCACACCTCAGGACTCATGCTAGAACACACAGTGGGGAGAGGCCTTATGCATGTAAGGAATGTGGGAAAGCCTTTAGTCAGGCCTCACACCTCACTACACACACTAGAACTCACAACGGACAAAGACCTTATGAATGTAAGCAATGTGGGAAAGCCTTTAGTCAGTCCTCATCCCTCACTGTACATGTTAGAACTCACAGTGGACAGTGGACTTAGGAACCTAAGTACTGTGTCAACGTCTTTACTTGTTTCTATGTAAGAGCAAAGGAGAGAGGGCTAATGAATGAGTAATATAGGAAAGCCTTTAGCCATTTCTAATTCTGCACTACATGTATAAGAAATCACAGTGAATAGAGGTCCTTTGAATGTAGCGAATGTGACAAAGCCTTTAGTTTCCACAGTTTTTTCATATAAGAGTTAACATTGAAGAGAAACCATGAATGTAAAGAACGTGAAAAAGTATTTATTTTTCCTCTCTCTCTAAACTTACTTTCAGTTGAAGGAGTCCTTATGAAGGTAAGGAATATGAAAAATATTCTGTTGTCCCTCATCCTTTGGAACACATCTGAATAGGTGTGTTCCACTGTCTAACATTGGATAGATGTCAAACCCCTTTTCCCCACCCACAAACCTGAAGATACATGGCAGTGAAACAATGTCAATGTCAAGATTATGGGAATTTTGTTTTCCTCCTCAGACTGTCTAAGCATTCGGATCTACTCATGTGAAAAGCCTTCCCTAAAATTATGAGAATTCACATTGGAGATGTACCATGGATACATAAAATGCCTGGGAATAGCTACATGTCTTTTCACATTATTTCCCTTTTTTGTATACATGGAAACTTGTATCAAGAAATTAATCTAATCAAAACTATGAATTTTGAATTAACCAGTTTTATTCCATTGTACATTAATTTCCACTTTTTATTTTCTGATGAAAACATATATATCACACCAGATACCCTTTCAATCCTGATATTTGAAATCAAATAGTGTTTGCATTTTGGTTCAATTGTAGAAAAATTCTCTTCAGAAGAAAGCCTCATCAATGCTTTGCTGTTTTGAAGTGTTTTTTATTTTTTAACAATTATTAAGTTTAAATATTTTTGTGTGTATGTCAGTATATTCTCATGGTGCAAAACTTTATTGTAACTAAAAACTGTCTAGAAAAGCCAACCTCAGTTCAAAGCTCAGTATGCTTAGTGCTTTCATTACTTTTGTCATCCTTTGTTGCAAAGTAATGTTTTATTGCACTAGACATATTTTGCATTGCATCTTATTCATTCTCGCCAGTTACTATTATGATCTCTGATTTACTGATATGGAAACCGAACAGAAAGTTTTATCTTGTGAGAAGTGCCCCTCTCTCAGATTTGCTGTGAAAAACATGATATGCATGGAAGGCTATTCATTCTTAGGGCCCAAGGTGATGGTGACCTCACACAGAGCCCCAGCCTAACCTAACTTCAGTGGAGTTTCTAACTAGCACTGGTATAGAGTTGTCCTCAGGACAGATTCCTGGTGTGAGTAATTCTGGACGTCCAACGTTTTCATAATGCCAATACCCGGGGCTTTAGTGGCTGACCTGTTTTGAAATAGTGATTGATACTCCAGCGGATGCATACTCTAAAGGTGAAACTGAGGTACAGGGAGGCAGACAGACATAACTGACAGGACCAGAAACAGACAGCAGAAACAGAAATAGCTTTATTAGGGTGGGGCGGAGCTTCCAGACGAAGTTCCCTGACCTAGGCGAACAGGTCAGGGGAGGTCATGTTCAGCAGCTGGGGGCGAGGGTTTTTAAAGGGGTGGTGAGGAATTTATGGCAATCAGCATATGGGGTCTGGAAACTGGGAGAATTGTTTGCAACTTTCTTCGAACCTGGAACTTCTGGTTTCACTGGTTATCTTAGCTGGCGCCATCTGTTGCTGACCTTTGGGATGTTCAGGGAAGCACATGCAGGGCCCCGGACCTGCTTCAGCTTAGTCCAAACAAGGCTGCCTAGTTTGGACCCGGCCCAAACACATACCTGTACTATAGGCCTACAGGAGATGGGAGACTAGATTTCAAAACAAAGCAATCCCAGTGTCGTCAAGTTGATTCCAACTAACTGCAACCTGATCTAGGGTCTCCAAGGCAGTAAATCTTTCTGGTAGAAGATAGTCTCAACTTTCTCCAGAGGAATTGCTGATCGATTTGAACCACCGATTTAGCAATTAGTAGTCCAACAGTGTCACAGAGCTCTTTAGGGACTCCAAATAGGGCCCCCATTTTAGTGGAGGCAGGGGGCAGGGTCTAGTGAGCCTAGGGGTTTATCTAACAATTTGCATGTTGAGCTTGGAATTATCTCACTCCTCATGTGAGGAACCTGAGAAATGGGGATCGTAGGTAGCAGAAGCCTTCAAAATAGACCATCACTTGGTTCACTAGTTCCTCTTGTAGAATTATTATACAGAACTTCCTGGGCACCATCATGGTATTGTTGATCATAGATACCATGACATTCAGTGTATATCAAGAAGGGATGGTGAAGAAAGCTGATGGTGCCCGGCTATCAAAAGTTATAGCATCTGGGGTCTTAAAGGCCTGAAGGTAAACAAGCGACCATCTAGCTCAGAAGCAACAAAGCCCACATGGAAGAAGCA